CAAGCGTCCTGGTTTCTACAGAATCTATTGGCACTTTCCGGAAAAGGCACATGTCCACAGCCACAGCAGCTCCCGCTCCCAGCTGCCCCATCAGGGCTCAGGCATGAAAAGCATTCCATGCACCACGACCCTCACACCACGACACACGCAGGGCAAGATTGGGTGTCCTCAATCCCCATGGAGGAGCTGGGTGATGGCACCCGTGCTCCATCCTTCACCCAATATGCTCGCACCTGCGGTCAGCGAGGGGGAGAGGAGAAAGTCCAGCCGCAGCCTCTTATCCCCAGGAGGAGGCCTCACAGCTTCCCACCCCTTCTTCTACTCCGCTTCCCGCTTCCACCTCCACACCTAAACAGCTGGCGCCGGCAAGGGCGGCAGCTCTGTGCAGGGATAGGGCCTGTTCTGCCGCTCGTGGATCCGCTGGTGCATGCTCAGGTGCTGGTAGCGCTTGAAAGCCTTCTGGCAGACACCACACTGGTAGGGCCGCTCGCCTATGTGGGGCTGGTGGTAGCGGACAAATTCCGAGGCCCAGGTGAAGCTCTGGTTGCAGCAGGGGCAGAGGATGAGGTGGTGCTGGCTGTGCTGCCATTGGTGCAGGATCAGGAAGCTCTGGCTGGAGAAGCTCTCCGTGCACTCCTTGCACGTATACATCACGTTCCCAGGTGACAGTGGGAATCTGCTGCTGCTTGGCTTCCCCCTGGCAGTGCTGCAGCCCCGGTGCTGGGACACGGAACATTCCACATCTGAAGGCTGGCACAGCCCCAGGACCTCCCGGGCCCGCATGTGATGCCGGATTTTCCTCTTGGACATGAAGCTGCGGCCACAGTGCACGCAGATGTAGGGCACCCAGTTGCTGTGGCTGCACTGGTGGAGGATGAGGTTGATCTCAAGCAGGAAGTTTTTCCTGCACACAGAGCAGGAGTACGTCTTCTCCCGGGTGGAATTCCGCTGGCCCACACAGGAGCCCTCCGTGGGCTCTCCCACAGTGGTGGCTGTGCAGGTGGGATCTGCCTGGGCCATTGCTCCACAGTCATCTGTCGTTGCTTCCTTCCCTGGGTCTGCAAGAAGCTCTGCCTCCGAGCTTTGGCCACTGCACTCCACATCCTTCATGTCTTCCTCCTCCATACTCTTTAAGGGTGTTTCAGGCACTGCCAGCTCCTCTGTGGTACCTCCTCCTGCGACATCCTCCTGTGGTACCTCCGTTGAGATCTCCATTTCAGCATCTGCTGGAAAATATTCAGAGCCCAAACATCACCCTTACTCTGATTTGAGGCCAAGGCATCAAAAGCAAAGGGCTTCTCTCCCACCCCACCCTCACAACCAGCACAATTCTTAGCCCTGCTCCCCTCTTCCAGCTCAGCGTCTTCCCACCCAGACTCCATAAACACCAGGCACAGCTACAGCTCATCCCCCTGGACACCCCAGGGACAGTGTGAGATGACAAATGTCACCAAGGTAGAATGGAGGGAGTCCAGCAAAACCACCAGGGCTTGTCCTTCGAGGCAAATCCACTGGGTTGTCTGGTTGACAGCAAGCCATGCCTCAGCCTCTACGGTTTGAAGGCTGGCAGCAGGATTTGCTGCCCGAGCCCTTTGTGGCCCCTCTGAATCATGTAAAATCTTGCCCCAAAAGCCCCAGGCCAAGAATAAGCCCTATGGGAAGCTCCTCCTATTCTCTGAGTGTGCTGGCACTGCTCAAGGAAGGATGAAGGGCTCTGCCCCTGTACCTGCTGCAGGGGAAGGTGATGGAGACTTGTTTGGATTCCCTGCTTCCAGGAGGCATGTGGAGAGAGGGCAGGAAGGGGACAGTGGTGGCTGGCTGAGGTCTGCTGGGACAGTGGTGGCTTCATGAGGGACATGCACTGCAGAGGCAAGAGTGAAGGCACTGGGTGAGACAGAGCCAGGCAGGGGCCTGGGGTCCCTGGTGCCAGCGGGGGTTGCAGCTACTCACGTGCACTGCACTTCTCTGAGACCATGGGGGTCCTGCTTTCTTCTGGGTTCCCACAGGTCCCCTCACAAGACTCTGTTCTCTTCATCTCCAGCACAGCACTGTCACTTGTGCAGCTCTGGCTGTCCAGATCTGGGGAGGGTAAGGGTACTTGGCATCAGGGGCATCAAGAGCAGCCAGCAACAGGAGCAGCCAGCAGGGAGTGCAAAAAAGGGTCCCCCTTCCCAGGCCCATAAAGCACAAGGATCTCTGCTGCACACAGCAACTGCTGGGTCAGAGGGGTTCAGACCCAAGGTAAGAAGGACATGGAGCTGCTGGAGCAAGTCCAAAGGAGGCTACAGAGATTCTCTGAGGGCTGGAGCACCTCTGCTATGGAGACAGGCTGAGAGAGCTGG